TAGTAGTAGTAGTAGTAGTAGTAGTAGTAGTAGTAGTAGTAGTAGTAGTAATGGTAGCAGTAGTGCTAGGCGTGCTGGCGGATGAGGCATTGTTCCGGTCAAAGGTAGGAGAGTTAGTCGATGTGCAAGCTGCGCTAGGGGGTTTTCTATACTGCAGCGAATTCCTCTGTAATGAATACGCATCTGATCGGTTAGTCCCACGAGGTGCTTGAATGTGTGTGGGCTGTTTGGGCAGTGAAAGCGGGTGTGGTTAGCGTACGCGTGGTTTTTAACACTGGTTCGCCGGTCTCAATACAATGAGTTCGCGGGCGACCGACCAAGCCGTTGCGGGAGATGAAAGTACGATCGCAATAATGGCAGGTTAGGACCGGGTCCATTTCGCTGGAGGTGGTGGCGACGGCGGCGGCGGTGATGGTAGTGGTGATGTTTGGTGGCCAGCGATAGCTATTTCAGCGGTAGCGGAGATGGGGAAGGTGGTGGCCGCCGTCGCCGCGGAAGTTGTGGTAGGGATAATGGAGTTTGCGGCGAGCGACGTCGGCGGGGCGTTAGGATGCTGAGCGCCGGTTGTGAGGGAAGCCGTTGTGGGACCTGAGGCAGGGACGACAGGAGTGAGGGATTTTCGGGCGGTTGGTGCACTGGGTCCGAAGACTGACCGACGAGACCAATTCGAGAGCAAAATGCTCACTGACAGCCTAGGCATTTTGACAGAGGGGTTAAGTGTTGGTGTTACTGTCAGGAGCTCCTCACACCTGCGAACTTCCGATTTTATTTTCCCCGCTGTGAGCCGATTGACTTCACATATTACTGCTCCACTCTACACTGATCTTCTCCAGCCCTGTCGCTCATATGCTATGTATTCTACGGCTGATTGGTAAGAACCTCAAGGAGTTCTTTAGGGTGTCTTTTTAGCGGCAGGTTACATCTCCTTCGCGAGAAGCACCCGTAGCAAGGACTCCCTGGAAGAGGTATTTTGTCAGTCACTCATCGTCCACCCTCACGAGATGACTGCTCTATCGCAGCTCCAGTTGCCTCCGCATGACGTAAATGCCGAAGGTTCCTAAAACTTCCATTTCCAGGACTTTGTCTTGCCAACTCAGCCATCTGAGGTGGAAGTGACTGAGTTTACGCGCTTGTTTCCTCTTGCCTTTCTAGATCTCCGCCCCCCAGGACAGCGTCATGACAGCTTTGTACATCTTGATTTCAACACTGAGGTGGAGAGCATGGCGATCCCATACTTCGTTTTTCAGCCTGCCGGATGCCTGGCTAGCTTTAGAGATCCGCTGGGCCATTTTTCGAATTCGTGCAACGTGTACACGTGGGCAATGTTGGCAATGGTTTTCAGTTCGGTACTGTTGACGTGAATGCGAGGAAACCCGTACGCAGAGTTGGGCGGTAGTTGATGCATGACCACCATTTTGTCCCTGCTGATGGTCAGCCCAAAGTTGGTACACTCGGCGGCGAACATGCTCATGCTCCGCTGCATGCCTGCTTCTGCCTGCTTGAGGCCTGCATGAGCCGGTTGGTGAGAAGACTGTTGTCAGTCTTGCGGGCAGTGATTATTCCGTGTGTCTATCACGGTAGGCGTCAATCAACATGACTGGATTGAGAGGAAGGTGGCGAGTACGCAGACCTGCTTTCTGCAAATGCTTCTGAGGCAGTCCCGCTGTCCGTGATGCGCCATCATCACGTCGCCTAGCTGACGAAATTGTTTGCGAATAATTCACAGAAGTCGGAGTTTGGCCTGCTTTTCCTAGATCCATTGCGCTTAGGGGTATCGATGGTTTTTGTCAGGTCCACGAAGGCAACATGGAGATGGGTCCGCATTTTACAGCATTTTTCTTCCTAGTGGCGGGCGAGGAAGGTCATGTCAGTGATTTGGCGGTGGTGTCGGAAGCCATACTGGCCTCGCGGGAGAAGTCTTCGTTCGAGATGGCCGTTGAGACGGTTGAGTAGGATGCAAGTGAAGATGTTCCTGTAGATGCTGGGCAACGAGATGCCCTCTATGCCGGTTCCTTTTCCGTTTGAGGAGCTGGACGCGGCGCCACATCTCCTGAACGAGGGCTAGGAAGTGACCCATCAGTCGGTGGCTGGTATCGGAGCCCAGAGCTTTCCCGCCGAAGAGTTGATGCACGGTGCGGATGGCTTCTAGATGAGAGGGTGGGTGATCCAAATAGATGCTAATTTTCATTTGGAGAGTCCATCGATGATGGAGGCGGAGGCGGAAGTGGTTAATGGGTGATTGAGGGCACTTCTGAACTGCTCGGCTCAGCGCGTCAGAATCTGCAACTTTTTGGTTTAAAGTGCGGTGTTGAGAATCTGAGCGGTTCCTTTAGCCGTGGAACCATAATTTTCCTCGATCCCAGCGAAGTGGTTCTTCGTTTCGTTGCGGTCAGCATGCCCATGAATTTCCTCGGTCTTGTGAGTTATCCGGGCGACCTACATCTTCCTCAGTCGCTACTGCGCAAGGTGGCGAATGAAGGCCGCTATTTGGCGCCGTCCGATGGTTCAAGTAGATCTCATGCAGCTTGTGTGTTTCGACAAGCAGTCTGCGAATGCCTGCAACATTGTCGTCGAACCAGCTCCGATGTTGACGACGAGCGCATCCAAAGACGTCCAAGTCAGTCGAGTGAACAGAGTTCCTCTGTTAACAGCAGCGATTTTCCACGGTGGCGTTGTAGTCCACCGTGGGCAGTTTTTCCAGGTGCTGACCTTACTGATTGCGGTTAGCGGCCAGCGTACAAATTCAGCAGGACACCATTTAACTTACCTGGTGATCACTTACCTTGTTGTCTCTACCGGGGTTGCAGTAAGACCCTCATCTGGAAGCTGACGACGCAGTGATCTGTCTGGCAGTCAGCGTCGCAAATAGCCCTAGTCACTAGGACGTCCTGTCGATATCGCCTCCGAACGAGAAAGTAGTCCAGCAGCTAGCAGTGCCGCGATCGGGATTGCATCCAGTTTGCTTTTTTCGCATCTGAAGACGGAAATAAGGTGTTGGTCAGGAGGAGGAGGAGGAGGAGGAGGAGGAGGAGTAGACTGCGTTCTGCGCAGGTTCGTGGAAGAATGAGACCACTGTCTTTGCAGCAGCTGATTCCATGGGGATCCAGCACTCTTCTCCAGGCGGCGTAGTCAGTATCGACGCGAGCGTTTAAATAAACAAGGGCGACCGGCTTGTCTACCTTCAGCACAGTCGTCAGGAGTATGTACAGTTCCTCGTTGGAATTGGTGATAGGCGGGTGTAGGTATTGAGGGTGGTGGGGAATTTGGCTTACCGAAAAGGAAAGCGCAGGGTCATCAGTCAGTTGCGATGCCCTGCAGCAGACAGGTCGACGGCCCTAGTATGTCATTCCGGATGACAAAGACGGCGGTCGCGTCGCGTTGTTCTTCCAGAAGAAGATGTAGCCGGCACCCACATCCCCCAGTTGGTATTCAGTCAGTATCAGTTAGTATATTTGGAGTAAACGACAGAAGCCCTGAAAACTCCATTTAGAGGGTACAGGTATAAGGGAAAATAGTTAAATTGCAAAGCTTGTAGTTTTAGTAAGGAGAATTCATAAATCTAATAATGTAACATAAAGGCGAAAGGGGTATTATATTCGCGAAATAATTGCGAAAAACTTTGTTCTCCTCATTCGGACTGTGAAAATTTCAATATGGGCTAAGTTTGGAGCACAAAATAGGATCTGTTGAAATCTTGTTATAATCATTTCAGTAATCCGCTAGATCAGGCTTCGGCAGTTCGGGTTGCCTTTCAGCAGGTAAGCATCCAGTTGTCTCTTAAACACGTTCACGGTAGGGGAATTAACAACAAACTCCGGCAAAGAGTTCCATTGGCGAATGACCCTCTGTGAGAAAAAGGAAGAACGTTGATTTGTGTGGCACAGTTCCTTTTTAAGCTGGTAATCATGTCGTCTGAGATTGGACTTGGGTGCCATTTCAAAAAACGTTTCCCAGTCGACATCCAGATTAAGTCCTTTTACCGACTGGAACGTTGCTATGAGGTCACCTCTGTCCTGCCTGTAGTAAAGGGGATAGAGGTTCAAGGCCGTCAGGCGCTGCTCGTACGTGAAGTTTTTGAGGCCATGAACAGCCTTTGTAGCACGCCGTTGTACACCTTCAAGGATATCCATATCCTTCCGAAGCCACGGCCGCCAAGCCTGTACCGCATATTCAAGGTGCGGCCGCACGAATGTCCCGTATACTTTGCCAAAAAAATCTTTATTCAAGTGTATAAACGTTCTGCGTATCGCGCTCATAACGGACATTGCTCGCGCAGCGACTTTAGAACACTGCGTGGTGACGCTTAGATCGTCTTTAATGAACACACCGAGATATTTTTGCACATCTACGGTTTTAAGTGGTTTATTGTCCAGGAGATACTGTCGTGGGGGTGCATTTGTTCTTCGTCCCGCTGATACTACGTGCATTACTGCACATTTTTTGACGTTGAATTTCATGCACCATTTCTCGCTCCATGCGTGCAAATTCTATACGTCCTTTTGTAGTATCTTGACGTCATGTTCATTTTTTATCGCTCTCCACAGTTTAAGATCGTCTGCAAAGAGCGCTATTTCCGATTTCACTTCCCCTACTTGGTCATTTACGTAGATAATGCATAGGAGCGGCCCAAGAACTGACCCCTGTGGGACTCCACTCGTAACAGGTGCCCATTCTGAGCAGTAGCCGCCCGCAGTGTCTTTTTGTCGCCGTCCGTTTAGGAAATCTTGATTCCAGTTCAGAAGATTTCCTCTTATCCCTATTTCTGACAACTTTTGAATGAGGCGCTTATGTGGGACGCAATCGAACGCCTTGCTGAAGTCGAAGTAAATGACATCAACTGGATGTCCTTCATCCATGGCCTTTGACCAGTGTTCGAGGGACGAAAGCAGGTTTGTGAGGCACGACCGCTTTTCGCAGAAGCCATGTTGAACTGAGGCGATGTAACAGCGGAAAGTATCAAGTGATGTAATAGATTTTTTAGCTACTTTTTCCATCAGTTTGCAGCAAATGCATGTCAAACTAACCGGCCGGTAGTTGGTGGGACATAGCCGTGATCCTCCCTTGTGGATAGGTACGACGTTTGCCAACTTCCATGTGCCAGGTAGTTTGCCAGCTTCCAGCGATTTTTGGAAAATTGTAGAAAGTGGCTCTGCTAATTCTTCGGCCAGCTGACGCAGGAGTACACCTGGGATCTCATCTGGTCCAGGTGACTTGACCGGATCCAGCTTATTTAGCTCTGCTAAAACTAACTGCGGAGTAAAAAATACTGTGCTTATAAGTGGTTGGTTGGCGGGCAGTGGAAGACAACAGGACTGGAGGGGTGGTTCCGTGGTGTAGACACTTTAAAAAAACTCAGAAAGAAGCTGGGCTTTTTGAAGGCCATCGCTCACAATTCGGTTATTTTTGTCCTTTAAGGTTGCTAGATGGTCCCGGTTTTTCGTATTGCTCCTGATATATGCATAGAACGCTTTAGGTTTTTGCTGCGCCTCTTCTAGGAGCTTCAGTGAACAGGCCCACTCTAGCAGCCTGCGGGAAGGGACGGGGTATAGGGTGGTAATTTGGTATTCATTTGAGAGAATTGTACACTGACGTGGGCCCAACATTTCTTTAGGTCATTTTTTTCTAGCTATTCCTCCGAAAATGGATAGGCAGTAACATCCCCAATAAGGGCTGTTTAGACGTGTCAGACGGTTGTCGAACTCCACTAAGGGCCGCGGCTTGGTTTAGGGGGAGAGAGGTCAGAGCTAGCCTAGGCCGCCTGCGGGACTGTATGTCGACCTATCCGTAGGACTTTTTGAAATGGAAGGAGGGAGAGAGGGGGAAAAGAGAATTTCATGAAGGGGAGGGGAAGGAGAGAGAGAGAGGTAGGAATCGGAACGGAGTTACTGGGTGTGGGGGGACAAGTACACCACTAGATACCCTCATCTAGTTAAGCCCGCCAGTTGGGGCTGTTACCGGGATGTAACCGAAAGTCAGGGCCTAGCTGCTGGTGGTGGGAGAAATTCATGCAAATTAAGTAGTCACATTTTAAAAACGTGGTCGGAAAGAATCTCGTTCAGAGGCTGACATCCTGATATTATCTGAATATCAGGGAACTATACTGCATGACAACTAGTATGACAATCTCATGTAGGCAATATTTTCGAACCAAAAACGCATTTCAGAATTTGGATTAACATTTTATGAGATAGCACATCCACTATATTCAGTACGTGGCCTATTTCATGGAGACTGATGACGGAAACTGATTTATGAATCTTTGGACGTTTTAAACGTTGCGTATTTCGCTCGCCTATCCAGCCCTTCCAAGGAAATGTTCTTTTCTTGTGCAGAAATTGTGTTCTAGTAATTTTATCCAAAATTTTTTCGTAAGTTTGAGCGAAAATGGACGTTGCGCTACATTTGGGCAATTTCCTGTAAAAATACTTGTCCCAGACTTCAGTGGCTTGTTTTTAATTAAAAGGAGAGTACGTTACGCCCGAGAGTTTTACTAAACAGAGCTTGCCAGACTTGAAAACTGATTTTCTGTCCGATGCCAGCCATAAGAATCAACTTGTCGACACAAAGGTTATTTTAAGAGAACCAGATTTTTTTGTCGATTTTTAGAAGTCATATTAGCAGATATGTGCGAGTTGGTGTCTTGAAGTGCAGTAATTACGCACAAAAACAACCCTTTCTTTAAATGGCCCGAAATTGTTTTTCCGTTTGAAAAAGTCTCTTTTTGGTCATAGAAATGACCACAACCGAATAGTCATTTCTAATTTTGAACATATGAAGCATTACCGTACTCCCGACACAGATACTAGCTAAAAGCACAGACACGTGTTTCGCCGATATTTTGCCTCTGCGGACGCAACCGCAATGGGTTCGGCTCCTCAGTGTCTTCCAGCGTTCTTTATGCGGTTTCTGGGGCATGAACTCCAGAGAAAAATCAAGCGATTAATTTTGGAGATAGAGTTAAGTCTCCAGGACATGACATTTGGGGTCAGGTACGAAATTTCAGTGATTTCGTATACCAGAAACCGCATAAAGAACGCTGGGGGACCCACGGAGGCGTCGAACCCCTCGCAGCTGTGTCGCGCAGCCGCAGAATATCGGCGAAACGTGTGGTTAGGTTTTTAGTTGATATCTATGTAGGCAGTACGATATAATGCCTTTATCATATAGACTTCATACTGCTCGTGGAACTACTTGTTTGCAGAACGGGCATTACGTGGTTACTAAAGAGTAGTTGATTGACATAGACTCGAATGTTCATTGAAATTTCGGGTATGACCATAAAAATCATGTCACCGATCGTTTTTACGAGACTCGCTTTCCCCGTTGTGCCTTAGAGGTCTCTCTCTCGAGCCACGAGCCCGTTGACCTGTGGGTTTTCGATCGGGAATATACAATGGTAGGGGGCGCTCACCGATCGTTCATAGGGAACTCACTCGTTCCATTGTGCCTAATGGACTCTCTCTCGAGCCCAACCAGCAGCCGCACAGCGGCGCGTGATACAGGCAGAATGACATCACTGACAAAGACCAGGGAGACTGGAATGGCCATTTCTGGCTTAGTAGCCGTTGTCAGGCAGACATGCCATTGTATATTCCCGATCACAACAGACAGGACCACGAGCCCGTGGCTCGGTGCCTAGAGACGTTAAACTTTCAACCAACAGGTCGTATAGTATAGATCTGTGCAATGATTTACCGTACTAACAACACAGGTATCAGCTAAAGGTACGGTAAATCATTGCACAGATCTATACTACTGGCTGCCTGTTGGCGGTTTGTGAATATTAAGCGCTTATTCCGCTGTAGCTGATGGATTTCAGCTCAAATATTCATACCAAAATTTGGAGCGTGCCTGAAAAGGTCCGCTTCGAAAGATTTACTCCAAGTTCGCGCATAAATTTCCTCGGAAATTAAACAAGGCAGGTCGTATAGTGACCCTGGGTATTCCACACTTCGAGATCGGGTGTGAATGGCTAGCGACAGCTAATAACCCGGAAATGGCCACTCCATTCTCCCTTGTCTTTGTCGGTACCATCTCATTTATGTCTTCTACTAGACGCTACGCGACTGCCTGCGAGGGTTCTAGTATGAGCCCCAAGGCACAACGGAACGAGCATGTTCCGTAACCTGATCACTGAGCGCCCACTATCATAATTAATATTCCCGATCACAACCGACAGGACAACGGGCCCGTGGCTCAATGGTAGAGCGACAAACTCCATGACCAAAGATCTCGGGTTCGAATCTCAAGTGATCCACATTTGGGGTTGGGTATGACTGGCTGATGACGGCTAATAAGCCAGAAATGGTCACAATGTCGGTACCACCTCATTTATGTCTACTGTCTGTCGCTCTGCGACTGACTGCGAGGGTTCTAGTATGCATCCTAAGGCACAGCGGAACGAGCACGTTTCGTAACCTGATCGGTGCGCGCCCAGCTGCCATGATATATGTATATATGTATGTGCAGAATAATATTACTGACAAGGACAAGGTAAACTGGAGTGTTTATCTCTGGCTTATCAGCCGCCGTCAGTCATACTTAATTGTTTTATCATTATATATGCCCGATCACAACCGACTGGACAACGAACCCGTCGCCTAGTGGTCATCGGCGATGGACTCCTAACTAACAGGTCACGGAATCGAGCCCAAGGTGTTCCACACTTGGGGGTTGGGTATGACTGGCTGACGACGTGTAATAAGCCAGAAATTGCCACTGCAGTCTCTCGTGTCTTTGTCGGTTATATTATTCCACCCACAGTACGCACCGCTGTGCAGCTGATAGTTAGGCTCGCGAAAGAGCTTCAAGTCATAACAGGACCAGTGGGTTCCGTAGCACAACCGGTAAGCGCCCCTTCTACTATTATATACACATATATATACAAGCAAAATGGGATAATCGGCAAAGACAAAGCAGATTGGGCGAGAATTTCTGGCTTACTAGCTGTAGTTAATCACTTTTGCCAAGTCTCGGGTATCGGGTATCTGCAGGGCTGACTTGCGTTCTTTTGGTTCGTAAGCGTTAGCAGGTCCAACGTGATAAATATTACACTTCGAACTCATTGTCTTTTGCGATCTGACGTCGGGCGTGAATAAGGCTGAAGCAGCTACTGCCTTTATAAGCCGAT